AAAATATTTTAGTGATTTCTATGAGTGGTTTACATGTATGAATTAAAATATTTATGTACATACATATATCTGTTCTCAAATGCCATGTAAATTTGATTTATTTTTTATAGCAGCAATCAGTTGTCTTACCGCTAAACAAAATTTAAATATTTAACAAATTTAAAAAGTTTATAATATGAAAAAATTAAAAATTAAAATAATTACAAATAAAAACCATAATTCAATTTTATTACATTCATATATTTTTATAAAAAAAAAAATTACTTTGAAAGAAGTTTTATATCACACTACCTTTCAAAATTAAATGAAAATTGTTGTTGTTAAATTTTTTGTATAAGTTAGTGTTAAAAAAATTAAATTTTCTGAAATAGTGGTATGCGTTTATTTAAAATAAATATTTTATTTACAATGTCGAAATGAATAGAAACTTTTAAGACATTAAAAAAGAACCATGTTTAAAATAACATCTGTGTTGCAAATGTGGAGTATAAAAATTATCAATTAAAATTAAGAAAAAGAAAAAAAAACAAATAATATGTAAATTCAAATAATTTCTAGTTTTTTCTAAAAGTTTAAAAAAAGTATTTTAATTTAAGCTTTTATTGTAGAGTAGTTTGATTTAGAATTATTTATTTAAACATTTTGAAATACACTTTTAAGCTAATATTTTTATCGTATCAGTTCAAGTGTTAAAAACTTTTATTTTCAAAGATTTCAATTTTTTTTCACTGAAAAATAAGCCGTGAAAGGCAAACAATTTAAAGTTATTAAAATTAAATATGAAATTGAGTGTTAATCTCCTATGTCCAAACGCACAAAGCCCGTGAAAATTCAAAATTAATCTTTTCTTCTGAGCAGACCTCGAACATAAATGCATTTGAGTATGTACAAAATATGTTTATGTGATTTAGTATGTATGTATGAACGCGGAAATGAGTTTATGCTGAGTTTATTATGAGTAGAACAACACCCAAATTTGCATTATTTTGTTGTAATAAAATATTTGCCGGTGAATAATTAGCATAGCATTTTTGTTTTTTGATTTTTTTTTTTAATTTAATAAGTTTATATATTTTTTCATATATTTTTGTGTAGCATCATATCATCATAGTTCATATAATATGTATATGTATATATGTATATATATAGTTCTCATTTAAATATATTTTTATAATCACTAAATTATTTATGCATATACATAATTACAATCAATCATTGCCTTTTCATACATACTAATTATTTATAGTCTATTTATATAATGTAATATAGACATAGTACGCGCACTGTGCTGAGCCCGTTTGGGTGAAGGAGGTTTCAGAATTTTGCCCCAACTAAAAAATGTATTATAATATTTGCTTGTGGCTTCTTGATGGTTTTTGTTTTCCAAATTTGTAAGGAACGCTGGGACAGGAGATAACAGATACACCCGCCTTTGCAATCACAACTCACGTTTCGCTGTTAATAATCAATTACGTGTATATGCATACATTTTTACGTTTTCGCTTGCGTACACAACTTTTAACAATTATAATTGTTTTATTTTTAATAATTATGTTTGTGTTTCTTTTTGGTTTTGATCACCTGTTCAAATTCATACATACACGTACTTTTTACTTTGTGAATCACATACTTTGCTCATTCCTACTCTTCACATCTACTTTCAGTTATATTATTATTCACTTTCCTCTTAATACTGTCTTCATTAAGCTCTCGAGTTTTTGAATTGAAATTTTCAACTTATTTTTATTTGTATGTTTTTATAGGTTATCTTTGCATTTTTTGCGATTAAACGTAATACTCTATTTCATGTATATATGTAATTGTATATATATTTTTGTTTAAGAAAATAGTCATAATACACATTGCATTTGGTGAGTTCAGCTTTCGTTCACATTTGTAAGGTACAATTTTCTATATACATACTTTTAAGGATTTTTATGTACATTTTACTTTATTTTTTAACTTTTTTCTCTAATCGAAAAAGTGTTAATTTAAATTGCAACAGGTTTTGTTTTAATACTTTTTAATTTATTTTAATAAATTTTTGTAATTGAAGGAACGCTGTTCACTTTTGGTCGGATGATTTGAGTATTTATGTGATTGAATGCATGAAGAAAATCACGAGTTTTGCCTATCAGTTATAAAGAGTTTTTGGTTTCATAAGAATTTTTGATTTTACTTAACATTTTTATGTTTTTAAATCGGTAGCATTTGCAAAAAATTTACCAAGTAGATGGTTAATATACTCGTATAGCATAGAATACTACAATAGATATGGAAATGTTTTTCAATGAAATGAAGGAATTTTATGAAAGAGGAGTTACCCACCAATTGTCTTGAATTTTTGCTTTTATACTTAGACAATTGGTTTTACAGAGACGCATGCAATTTTTCAAATCGCTTTGTTAGTGCACATATCATTCAAAATATAAAAATTTTTCAAAATTTAGGTTTTTTTAGAGCCTTAATTACTATTTTTATATTGATAAAAAATTGTTATTTTTTACAGTATTGAAACGCGGAAAAAGATTTTCAGAAAAGTTTTGTTTTTCTAAGACCGTAGAAGAAAGTAACACCGGCGTTGAAGACCGCCACCAAGCAACACAAAACTACTGTTTATAAGTTGTATTACTTAGTAAAATTTATTTCAGATTTTTCCTCTAATGAATGTTTTTATTTTATTGCTAAACTCTTTGAATGGTGTAAATTATTTAAGCTTCATTTTTTATTTCCAGCATACTAAACAATACAATTTCTCATTAATTGTGCTCCTAATCTTTCACAAATGTTTTTCCCCCACTTCGTATTCATTTCTTGTGTATATTATAAACAAATTGTTGCAACATTTTAATTGTACGCCAGTGAAAAGAAGCGCGATTTGGTTCTAGAATTGATTTCCATATTGAAATTTGGCGGCATGCATATAAGTAGAAATTGTTGTATTTGTTAAAAATATTTATTACACCATAAAAAACTATAAGCCGACATGAAAATGCTTTTAATTTGTCATTTAGCGTTAATTGTCTATCATAACGAAATTATAAACGAAAAATTACTATGGACTACTTGGGGCAACAATCACAGGCGTACAAAACATTAGTCTTACAGAATTTTATATTTCATAAATTGTGGCGGATTGTCTAAAAGCCTATAAAGCATTAACTCTTTTCACTCATTTTTAAGGAAGTTTTTAAAAGCGTATATTCTCATGTTAGAATGTTATGGAATGAGTTTATCAAACATTTGAAATTTACTAGTATAACGAACGCATGCATAAAACCACAGTTACACAATAAAGCCATTCAAAAAATTCTCTTAACTTGAGTTGCTTATAAAGCTGCAGCGAACCCTCGGCATCACCTTTAAACGTTCTTTTATTTAAATTCTATTGATGCTTTTTTCCTCAAATGCCAAATATGAAGTACTAGGCATATTTTTGAATTTTACGTTCATTTTAAATTGCATTAAAATATAGCACAATTTGGTTTTTAATTCAAAATTAAATAAATCGAAAGCAGTTAAAGATTCTTAGTACTCTAAATATAACTACAAAAACTTGCCATAAGATATGCTTGAATGATGATATGTGATTTAATATGATTATATATTTATGTACCTATATATTTATACAATGTAAATGTATGTATACATAATTTTTAATTTCATAATTTATTATTAAATCAAATACTTACTTATGTGAAAGGAAGGAAGAGAGCTTAAGTTATATATACAAGCAATCGCAAATGGTTACGAACCACAACCCCATTACTCAAGAAAGTAGAAGAATTACATACCATTGTTACATACTCGTTATTTGATTAGCATAGGCGCATACAACAACATGGTAGCATACAATCATAATTTTTTACTTAGTATACTAAAAACCAACACCAAAACACTTTTTTTTTTTTTTTTTAATATTATTAGTAAACATACATATTTTGTTTAATTTGTAAATTCAATTTGCGCATTAGAAATACAATAATATTTGATTAAGTATTGCATTTTTGTTCTTTAAATATATGCAGGAAGAATAATACATAACTTAAAGTACGCCATACCGTGGTTAGATTTGATAAAAAGTGAGTTTTGTGCGCACGAATTCGAACTAAATATACAATTATAGGATTTTTTCCTCTAAATATTAGTGGTTAAATATAAATTTGTACAATTTAAGTTTAGAAAGTTTTTATGTTCGCTTTTGCATAATACACACCTAATGTATGGTAAAAATATACATATTAAATGTATAATAACGGAAATAGTAAATAGTAATAACGAAATATAACTAAGAACTAGCGTTTAATGCTCATTCATAAACTAATGAGCAGAGTGATTACTCTTTAAGAAATATTATATTAAATATTAATTACATTTCTTTTTTTTTTTTGCTTGTTTAGAATTGACTCAACTCACATCTACATAGCAACTCAAACACATGCACGTACAGCGCATAATTTGAGCGTAATTATTGTTTTGATTGCTGTCATTTGTCATAAATTATTTAATTGTTTTCTAAATTATTATTGTTTTTTTTTGTTTTTTTTTTTTTTTTTAATTATTTGAGCTGAAAGGAAATTTGCACTTTGTGTTTAAAAAATATTGCAATGAGTCATATGAGCTTCTAGCTTTCCTTTTTTCAGTTTATTCAAGTTTGCTTAACGATTTTAGCGACGATTTTTTTTGGTTTTGCTACATACATATGTACATGCAGGGGCTAGAAAATTTGGACCCCTCTTAACGTTTGTTGTTGGTAGCGTTTAGTTAAAATTACTAGTACTGGTAAATTGAGTGGCATTTTAGTAAGAATCTCTAGTAGTGGTAGTAATAATAAGTTGTGGTAGACATTTGTCTAAACGTTACTTTTTGTTTTTTTAGCAATTACTCATACTCATAGACAGACATACATATGCAGTGGCATACTCAATACGTACTACAACAGCATTTGTTGGCTATGTTTGTAGTGGAACAAGAATGCAAAAAATAATTTCATGCTTTACCTCCAGTTTTACGTAGCGTTGTTGCTTTCTCTCGCAAACCGGCCGGTAAGCTGAATGGCGCAGAACCGAATGGATCCTCGGGTATGTGCGCTGCAGCAGCGGTGCCAGCAGCAGCACTACTACCACCACCACCACCTGTAGCCGCTGCGCCAGCGACAGCGTTACCAAACGGTGTGGCCGTAGCCGGATATTGCTGCTGTTGCTGTTGTTGTTGTTGCTGCTGCTGCTGCTGTGGTGTTGTTTGCTGTATTTGTGTTGCCGCCATGCCAATCGCATAACCTTCAGTGGGTGTAAGTGTTGAAGTTGTTGATGCGGATTTGGCTGTGATACCTTTGAGAAAAAGAAATTTCGTTTTTAATATTTAAAATAATTTTAATTTACCAATATGACGTATACTCACTTCCTTGACTGCCACGTTGACGAATCTTATCGAATTCTGCTTCGAATATATGGTCTTCCGTCATTTGATCGAATGGTTGCTCTTCAAACGGATTCCATGCCTCAAGACGTTTACCCAATGCCATGCCTTTGGCATGATTTGTGGCCGACCCCGACGATGATGCCAATTCAGAATTTACGTATGATATATTACTGCCAGACTCGGTCATATCGCTGCGCAAAACTTGTGCCCTTGTCAATTCGGCATTCGATATTGATGCCGACATGGCGGCGCCTTGTCCTTGCATGTGCAACGTTTGTGTTGGTGGCAAGAATAGGCCAGGATTGGAGCCGCCGTAATTTGTGCCAGAATTGGCCATTGCATTGACCAGCATGCTGTCATCACCACCACCACCGGCGCCGCCACCGCCGCTGTCAGCGCCATTAGCGGCGTTCGAGTGATGGGGCGCACGACTCTTAACCGAGTGATCGTAGGGAGCCAGAAATTGAGATGTCTCATTGGCGAAAGTTCTAATTGGTTATGGTGTATCCGAGAAATTTTTGGGTGCGAGCGTGTTGTAGGGGTGAAGTGGGAGAGCACAGCAATAGATGAAGAATGATGTGTGTATGGAAATAAGAAAAATTTCATGATTTTATAATTGGAAATAAATTGGGATTGAGGAAGTGGCGTATTTGACAAATGTGTGCGCATAACTTGTGACGAAATGTGCAGCAGAACGAGAGTTTAACTATTTTAATTAGAAATTTACATATATATATGTATTTTGTTTTTGTGTTTAAAGAACATTTACATATAGAGCGAGTTTGAAAAAGATTGAAACCTAGGTGCCTTACTTATACTTGAGTAAATTCGCGCTTATACTTATATATTTAAATAATTATTTACTTTTTTCAATTTTAATGGTTTTAAATTGACCTGTTTCGATCTTAATGAAAATTGAAATAAAAATAACTTTCTCGAGCTAAATAAGCTATCTTTTTTGATTTTTTTTAATTAAAATTTTTTTTTTGCTTAAATTTTTTAAAAAATTCTTTTTTTTTATTTTTTCAATAATATTTTTTTAAAATTTTTAAGTTTATATCTAAATAGCGGATTTAATTTCTTTTTTAATAGAGCAATAAATAATTTCCTTAAAATAGTTTTTAATAAATTTTTGGTTTTTAACTTTTTTAATAACAAATATTGTAAACATTTGAAAATTGGAAATCGAATAAAAATATTCTTGCATCGAATGAATCTTTCTAACTAAAGCTTTGAAAATACATACGCATACATAGCATATCAAAAATTTCAAACCAAAATTTCCAAAAATTTTCTATACTCATTTTCCGACAATAATAAAAAAAGAAACGATGAAAAATTTGCTATGCTCGGCAAAGCACATAAACAGTTTATAAATTCTTTCACTATTCGCTTATTCGCTTAAATGTTCTTTTTCATCTTCTAAAATGGCTGACCTTAATTAGTTCATTAGAAAAAAAAAATAGAAAAGAACAACGACAAAAACGCGAAAAGTCAGTGGTATACGCATATAAATACATACATTGACAAGACATGTATGCAATTGCAAAAAAAAAAAACACCGAAACGAGAAAGAGCAGAAGAAAAGAAAACATACAGAACATACAGAAGAAACACACACAAATCGATACAAGCATAGAAACATTCAATTAACATTACATAGAACTAAGAAAATCTTACTTATTAAAAGCAGACGTATCGCTGACATTGCGCCGATGTCCAGAGGTACCGGCACCGCCACTGGCGTTTGTGCCCACAGCCGATACAGTTAGCATACTACTCTTCGTCGGTACAGCGCCTACTGCATGATGTGCTGATAGAGAACTCACGCCTATATTATCCAAACCGTCACCTACTCCCACCCCTACGCCTAAGCCAAGTCCAATACCCAGACCACCGGTGCCAAGGGCCGTGTCAAATGTTGTGTTTTTCATTTGCCCCGGTGACGGTGCAGTCTCACTAAACGGATCTGGATATACGGACGACTCGAAGAGGCTATTTAGAACTTCAGGTGGTGGTTGCTGTTGCAGTTGTTGTTGTTGTTGTTGTGGTTGTTGTTGGCCAACAATTGCTGAAGAATTGTTGTCTAATTGAGCGCCAGCTTGTGGTTGTATTGGTAGTGGTGGTGCTGATGCATTGGGAGTTGCAGGCACCACTGTAGTGGTAGTAGCTTGTTGTGTCACTGCTAATGCTGCTGCTGCTACTGTTCCGGTTGCTAAGCCCGTTGTGGAAGCAGATATTGTTGTTGTTATTTGCTGTGTTGGTGGCGGTGGCACAGTTGGTGGTGCCAATTGCGGAAAATTCGCCTGAAATTGTTCGACCACTGGCTGTTGTTGTGGTTGTGGCGATGTTATATTATTGCGTGGTGATGGACTAGGCGGTAAGCCAAGCCCAAGTGGATTCTGACCATGCACTGCTGATGAACCTTTCGGACGTTGACGTGGCGCCACACTCGTGCCGGACTCTACAATGGGTACACTTTGCGGTTTAGGCGTTTTGGTTGCGGCCGCGGCAGCAGAGATGCGTTTCGCTTCGGACTCAAAGAGAGGAACGACGAGTTGATCGAAATTTGGTGGCGGAGATTTCTGAGAAAGGAGAAAAAGAGTTATGTTAGAAAAAGAGATATTTTATTTTATAATAGATTTGGATTTGGAAGAAATGATTGCAATAACGCTCGACAGTAGACAATGCCAACTCTTCCGAATTTTTTTCTGACATTTAATGAAAGCTCCTCATTAATATCCAGTAGCCGTGCGGAAGCGGCTTGGAACAAACCGTGATTTCTTAAATTTGTTGGAAAAACAGTAAGTGGTCGGCTAAGAGTCGCTTGAGCGATTATAAAGCATTAATTATTTGCTTAATATATAAAAACGTTTGCGGAAATTATCCCGCAGACCATACTGAAAATTTGTCAGTTAGTTCCTATGATTCCTGGACAGGTCTGTATGGAAAAATTCTTTTAGGAAGTGGACCAGAGACTGACTATTCGCACAAAAATTGTATTTATGGTTTAAAATACTTCAAAGTTGGTACATGAATGTTTTTTTTTATTATGGCTGTGGGTTCCAAACGATTTTTACACCTTCCACTTTACTTTCTTCCACTGAGGCAGGGCATTAATAGAAAAAATTTACAAGTTTTTCATTTTTTTTTACTAATTGAAATTATTCTGAAAAGCTCTATCTAACCTTTTATATCGTAATTCTCCCTTCCACTTATACCACTTAACTTTACATTTCAACTTACGTGCAAATTTTGTACAGGATTCTCTTTGCCAGCCAATCGGAAAACCACCTCACAAACTTGCCAAATATTCGGTCTCTTATCCATATCAGGTTCGAGCATATATTTGATCAATTGATGCATGCCTTTTGAGTATTTGGAATTGTCCGGTATGGAGAATTGACCATTCTGTATGGCCAATGTACTTTCACCGAAGGGCAAATTGAAAAAGCACAACTTATAGAGCATACAACCGAGTGCCCAAATATCCGCTTTTGTTGTAATACTTTTACCAGAATAGAGATCGATCATTTCGGGTGCCCGATACGAGAGCGTAGTGTACTTTTGTATTTCCTCTTCCACCTGCGTAACGCCATGTTGTTGTGGATTTAAGATTTTCGCTGTGGCTGAGCCAAAATCGCACAAAACAAAATTGCCAGCATCATTCTGCAGTATATTTTCTACTTTCAAATCTCTATGGATAATTGGGGTTTGACAGAAGTGCAAGCGTGACACTGCCTCTGAAATATCACAGAATATAGTGAGAACTTCCTGTTCGGTAAAGCCAACTTGCAATCTGTAATTAAAAAAAAAAGAAAAGAATGGCATACAATTATTAATATTATGACTGCTTGTCTGCATGTATATGTAAATATTTGTATGTATGCGTGAATATGAGTGCTTATTATAGTCTGCAGTAAGTTATTTGATTAATTATAAATTAAGTGACGTTTATGACATTATTCAGTCAACTTACCTTGCATTCATCATGGCCAGCATGTGCTGCTTGCAGTAGGGCATGAGCAACAGTACTTCACATACACCGTTACCAGTGGGCGTAATGCTCGAATCCACGTAGCCTATAATATTCTTATGACCGCTGAGATTACTCTGCGGCAAAACAATAAAAAAAAGAGTATATATTAATACGGTGAGTAGCGAGGAAAGGAAATATTGTGGTCGCCTCGAGTGATTCTTATAAGGCGTAATTTTCACATTATTTAATATTTATTTAGGTGCATAAGGAAAAGTAAAATAAAAAAAATATAATGAAATATTTAATAATTTAAACGTCACGAAAGCATGTAATGTCAGCCGTGACGATGAGCTGCACAACGTCGAGCCCAAGCAATGGCTAAACACTCGAAAATTGTTGTGTGCATGGGATTGATGTATGTATGCATGTGGGTGTGAGCGCGTTTGTATGTGCCATTATACTTACAGCGATCTGAATCTCCCTTTTGGCCACGTTCAAGTCGTGCTCGTTATTCACATACATACGCTTCAGCGCGTACTTTGTATTGCCTGTGTTGGCTTTGGCGAGGAAGACCATGGCAAAACCACCTGCAAAAAACGGAAGAAAAAACCAAAAATTAGTTGATTAAAAATATTGAATTAAGCTACATGTATATGTATGTTCTTGTGTGCGTTAGTATGTATGTATTTATGTACTATATAAATATGAGTACAATACAGAGTAAAATGCAACATTTACTTATATTATCTTGGTGACGCACATGGAATTCATTTGCAAAAAAGAAAATAAATTTTAGGAAATTTTTATGTTTGTTTCTTACTTGGCAAAGTGATTAATAAGCTCCAGGTTAGACAGAGCTAATTAATTGCATATTATAATTGACTAAATACTAAATTAATTCCCATTTTATCTCATTTACATAAGTGCATTGTATACTCAATATAATATTTAAATGTAGGCGTTAATCTAGACTCCGCAATAGCAAGACCAGTTTGTATGCGACTGCGAGAGTAAACTGTATGCCTGAACGGCTCGAGAGCGCGCAAGGTAAACTTTTCTCTTAGTCTCTAACAAGATGGATGAGAGTGATTTCTAGGCATTGCCCAAATGAGTGTAAATTTCTTTTACAAATATACTACATATGTTTTGGTTTCCAGAAGAATCTAATTTAACTTCTGTCATAGTTAATTGGAAATAACACGCTAGAAATAATTCTCTGAGACTAAAACAACTTCATAAGTTTCAACGAGAGTTTCGTTTTAGTGTCAGCAATGATTTTTTAGAGTTTTACATGCCTTTTTTATGCCTAGTACTTCTGCTTTGAATTTGTACAAATTGGTCTAGTATAAATCCAAATGACTATATTCGGCTTAAGGTTTCGATTTCTGCTAAATATTCTCTTGCAGTTGTAGAATGGCACATACATAGGAAGGTTTGACTTCTTTATATATATATGTATATCCTTATATATATGTTTATCCTCAAGCTTTAATAGCTATCCCAATAAACAAGAGAGTCGATCTAGACTGGCGCAATTATATGATGAGTTGGTCTCAAACGTTTTTTCATCCTTTAATGCCAGGTAATAAAAAAATTGGGTCAACTTCGGTGCGGAATCGGTAGTATGCTTGAAATAAAACTCCTCCATGCATCTAGCACTCCTCTCCTAGGTCAGATGCCATCGAAACAGCTCGCATCATGGGACTACTTTTAAATGATTTTAATGACATCGACAAGCTTTACTTGCAACAAACCCCCTAGTAGAAACTTCATTGCAAAATTGTTGCAATCGTAAAGATTAGAAATCCAAATATTTGTCTTCTGGGGTCCTGTGTATCTTCAATCTTAATAACCAATTTGTATCTTAACCAAACCACCCGGCTCTTATATAGCGCTTTCGATATAATACACTGCGCGTCATCAGGTTAGCGCCCCCCTGTACATGCTTCTTTGATGTGAAATATTTGGCAGACTGCTTAAGCTAGAGCTATGCAAATTTTTTTTCCAGAAAATTTCAATAATTTTTAAAATGAAAAGACAAAATTCAATGCAAATGGTTTTAAATGGATTTTTATATAAATAATAAAGAAAAACAATTCATAAATGAGTAAATCAAAATTGGGTCATCAGGATAGCGCCCCCTACGATAATATGAGTATTTTCAGTTAATTTTGAAAAAAATGTTAAACTTAACAATTTTAAATACTAATATGAATATTTTAGAAGCTAATTAATAATGTGTTGTCCCTCCTTTGTTAACAAGGACTTCACACATTCGATTGGGAAGTGACTCATAAAGTTTTTGAAGGTAGTCCAAGGAAATCATTGACCATGCGAGTTTTATCCCGGTGATCAATTCTTCTTTAGTGGAATATTGTTTACCACCCTCGTACACCTTCCTAGCCAACCATCCCCATACGTTTTCTATTATATTAAGGTCTGGGGAGTATGGGGGCCACTCCAGGACTTTCACTTTTTCTTCTCTAATCCATGATTTTACAGTGTGGGCGGTGTGGATCGGGGCATTGTCGTGTTGAAAATGCCATTCCAGATTACCAAAAAGATTTCTAAAATTTAATTTTTTTTAAATTTCTTCTCATCCGAAAATACGACGTATTGCCACTCCTTCGACCATGTCATGTGTGTACGAGCAAAATCAAGGCGTGTTTCTTTTCGCAACTTATTAAGAGGTGATTTTTTCTTCAGTTTCTGTCTCTTTAAATGTTCAGCGTTCTTTAACACCCTTTGAATCGTTGATTTGCTCGCGTTAACACCACTTTTTTCACGGATTTTGGTAGAGGAGTCGTGGGAGTTGGATGCCTCTCGGAGTATTATCCTGCGATCTGCCTCGGTAATGACTCGGTTATTGCCACCTTTAAAGTTCTTTCTATAGGTATCCTTGTTATAAAGAAAATTGGCTATGGTTTTGCGATTTCTACCGGTTTTTTCAGCGATTTTATGAAAGGAGAGCCCGTATTCATAGAAAGCTGTGATTTTAGATTTTTCCTCCAAAGATAGGACCGTTCCTCTTCCCATTTTTACAAAAAATTATTTTAAACTTTTGAATTAATCACCGTAAAAAAATTTATTGCTGTGCTTTTCAAATTAAGGCAGATAATCACAATTGAATTTACAGGCGCTAATCTGATGATGCAAAACACGTGTTAGCTTTTTCATCGAAATTAAGGCAAAGCAGAAATAAAAAGATAACGGTTCTTCTCATGCGCTCTTTTTTTCTCACAACAAGGGACAGAATATCAATGAACAAAAAACAACAACATTTACGAATTTGCGTGTAATAGGAAATTAGATAACACAAGAAGAAACAGAGCAAAGCAGGGGGCGCTAACCTGATGACGCGCAGTGTATGTCTACTATTGTGTTACTTTTTTATCATCAACGAGGTGCGGAGAAATTTCTCCGTAAAAGCATTTATTACTTGTCAACGAACTTGTCCAGTTGGGCAGGCGCTTAAGTCTATACTTAACAATAATCTGGGCAGTATCGGAAATCCCGATTTCTCATTTGCTGAAGAAAATATCAAGATGGATGCCGAGGCTCTTCAAGTCACCTTAAGAAATCTCGTAGTTCCTTTGCAAGCCTCAAATAAATACACAACAAGTCGGAATGCAATCATACATGAAAGATAACGCTTGCAACGGCACCCCATTATCTCTTCTTCAGCTCACTGCTTTTTTTCCGCACGAAAAACCTTCACTACGAATTCTCTAGAAGTTTATAAACGTACTTCCATCAGCTCTTGGTTGGTTTGTTGATTAAAAGGTGAGGTAAAAAGACCTGACCCCAAGCGGCCGCACCTAGGCTATTGAAAAGACTTTTTGTTTTTTTTATGAAGGTTTTATGAACAGTTGGATGGATTAAATTAATTGTTTGTTGCTTCCACCCATAAGCCCAGAGCTCGAAGCACAGTTGCATAGATTAATCGACTGAAGCCCGGCCACTCGTAAAAGTAGTACGCTAGCGATTCTAATATATCATGTGAAGATGACAACTAAAAGGTACACCTACAGGACAGTTTAGTCTGTCTGCAATCCACAGTACTCCACAACAATTTCTCTACTCCAGGACCCCCAGAGTTTCCCTAGGTTCAACTGTGAAAGCGTTGAAGGCTCTCGAGCAATTGATGGTGATACGTCTCGCAGCGGCGCCAGCGCTTGCAAACGGGTTATTGGGCGTTTACAGAACCATACTCCCTGTGTTTGCCTCGCATTGGATCTCATCATAGATGTGGATATCTTCAGTCCATCTGTATAAAAACAAAATCTGCTTGCCATGAGAATCTCGCCATTCATCATAAGAACCAATTTCAGTTTTTATTTTCGTATTATAATCTAAGCCTATAAGAAGCATTCTACTTAGATGCTACGTCAAACATATTTGTGCTTCTTTTCGAACTCAAAACCTTCGGCATAAATTCACTTGGTTGCGTCAAGCGCCATATCAAAGCGTAAATGTATGAATGTAATACAATTAAATTACAATTCAATTAAAGAGAAACAATAGTTAGTCAATGTTGCGGTACGAGCAGCATAGTTACACACATATATACAACAAGTATCTAGGTATCTTTACATAAATACCTTTAACACTTGGTCATTTGCAACAAAACCCACTAATGAGGCAGAGCATTACTCATTCCATGAAATGGAAAATACTAATGACATTCATTTATATGAATATACTCGCACTAAAGTGGACGAATCTACAAATCATACATCCATATATATGCAAGTACGAATGTATATAGAAGTATGGATGGGTCCATGGGTACCTTGGCGGTGCCAGAAAGTTACTATTTACGTAGCAAAGTATTTACGTTTTTGTGTCAAAAGCAAAAGTAATCGATAATTGTGGCATGATACGAGCCGGCAAATAATTCATACATATGCACATACACATACACCATCATGCACTTTGCGAATAAGAGCTATCTACGTGTATGTGCGCGTATTGAAACTTTGGAAGGGGAAGATTTATAGACTAAAGTGAAAATAAAGGAAAGTAAGGTCGTGAAAGCAAGTTGTTCCACTGAATAGTGAGCGTAAGTAATGAAGCCAATTCAATGCATTGAAGTATTAGAAAACAATATGTACGAGTATTTGCTCTGGCTAAGATAAAGAGGATAAGGGACACCTATATGCATAAAAATATCGGTGGGATTTCTATGGAGTAAAGCTAGAAAGTTAGTCAAGTGTAAGAACTTGGCATGGAAATCTACCGAAATTGACGAAAATGGTTTATGAAGTGCATATATATCTATATACATATATGTAAATCGCATATATATATATCAGATATATAATTGCATGTGACAGTGATTTACGCATGAGCAATTTTTGTAAAAAGGAATGAGTTTAACAAACACATATTTTGCATAAAATTAAACGACACAAAAACAACAAGAACAAGAAGAAACCACTCACTACCTTGGACTCTGGAGACTTACTAAAAATTGTGGCCCATACTAATGCGTGGATGTTGTTGTAACGGTTCGACAATCCCGCTTAGGAGCAAGCGAGAATAGTCTGAAACTTCGAGGACATTTAACGCGTAGTCCAAGAAAAGC